CAATTCAGCCCATACATGTGCACCCATCCTCGCCAGCCAGTCGCTCTCTGTCTGTTATTTGTTGTTAATCAGCTTATAATAATGGACACACTATTTTTCAAGGGGAACTTCTTTTTTGTTACTGATGACATGACTGCTGATGACCTAGAATGAAATGGTCTGTGTGTTTCTCTGTGCGCCTCAGCTTTCAATGCTTCTCAGCCCACTTTCTGACACAAACATCAAAATCAATTACAATGTCAAAGTGCCTGGTCCCTCACATGCACGTCTCGGGATTAGGGATATGAAAAGAGGAGAAATCGCGGATGCAGCACTGTGGTCGAAGGCAATACTGGCCCATAATGGAATTTCTGCACAATTTGCTCTATGAAGATGGAGGTTAAGGGGTTTATATCTCCATTCTCTGTGCTTTGTCACCCTGATTTGTCTCATAATCAGGCACGGGGACCTTATAAATGGTGGTGCACAAGACCCAATCTCCTAGGAGTCACTGTCACCTGCTCGGTCCCAGATCAATGGCATGGCAACAACTACGTGGACAAAAATGAAGGACACTGGTCAAGTTCAGAGTAGCTCAGCTTCACCAGTGATGATGGAACATCGCTGTTATATCAATATTTATACTGGGTCAGGCTCACATTTCCAGCTCAATTACATCTTTATACCAGTCCACTAGTATCCAGTTACTTGGCCAAGATATAACACTGACATATAGAATAGAGATACTTCATCCATCTCTGTAGGCACTTTGTCAGACACACTTACTGTATGGGTGAGATCAGGCTTGGGTCTTACAGTAGAAGGTCAGACAGCATACAGAACCACTGGAGCTGAGGGTTAGAGGGCCCAGTGGTGCCATCAGTCTGCTGCTCCCTGCATCTTAACCTGTGACCTCAGGCAGGCAGAGACACACAAGCTCTCCCTCTCTCTCTGCTTAGAAGCGCACTTATGGGTTAGCGCTAAAGATAAACACAGGATCAGCACAAGCTTCTCAGGACCACGCAGAAAGTTGTAATGGATTTTCTGCCTTCATTATAAAGAAAAACACATAACGACCATGATCAATTTGCACTCTGTTCAAGGCGCAACTTGTCGAGTTTGGAGCTGTAACTGTATCTATAATTGTTTATGCTTTTGTTGACAACACGAGGTTAACAGGTGTTAACATATTTTATACGCCCTTAAGAAACATTCTGGAACCAATGAAACTCCCCACGGGGCTGGTGGTTCATTGCGTGTGCGTTACTGAGCTTGACAGCAAGTCCCCTTGTTCTGGTAAATCCACCAGATGCCATGTTTACTGACACATTAAGGCCTGCTCTAAGTCAATAATGAGCGGGCAATACAGCCGCTGTAGAAGATAAAAGGTGTAACGATTCAAAAACAATCTTGGCAAATAACACTGCAATTTTCGGGGACTAATGGAAATGTTTCACACCTGAGTTGCTCCGCACACACCATTAAGCATTCTCAATACCAATAACGCTCGAAAATTACAACATCTCAAAGTTTTGGGGGAGACGCCTTTTGTAGATGCCACTTATTAAGATTAATTACGTTAATTTGCCAAAATGGTAAATAATAACCTTGATTGCTGAGATGGATCCACAGAGCATGGTTAACGACAGAACGGGGCATGTTTGGAATTCATTAACCAGTCATGTTGTCCATGACTCATCATTAACCCCTTGACCATTCTATTAGAAACCTATTCTTTCTGAGATCCTAACAAATATTGCTATCATGGGGCAATTAGGGGAATTTGAAAAAATCTGGAGATGCTTTAAAAAACTGTATGGAGGATGAGCGTATTTGCAGTACATGGGGGCCTGCGTGTGTGTTCAGCAGCCTTTCAGGTAGAAGGAAACGGCACAGGTACACTCCATTAATACCATTAATTACTGTCAGAGTTGCCATACATTCAGCTCCAGCCAACATGCCTACCATGTAACTTGCCTACCTGTGGGTTTGTACTGCAGGTTGGGGCCTGAAGCCTCGGTTGACCCCAAACCATAATCAAGGGACCAACATATTTCCAATGTCAAATTCTACTCTGGGCTGGTAAAATATTTAGTGTGTTGGGCCTAAAGCAGATTTCTGAAGTGAATAAGCTTGTCTGTAATTCAGAGGAGGCAGAGAGCATTTATCTCCACATATTAATTTCAATACAATAATAATATTAAATAAGTATTAAATGTTACTATAAGGCTGCAATGGGTTTGTGCCCCACTGTTCATTCCCTGCCTTGCACCCGTAGCCTCCAGGAAAATTTATGGATGGATGGATGGATTTTAATATTAACATATTATAATATAAAAATGGCATTTTTAAGCATCAAGGCACAGGGCAAATGTAGTTTCATATGAACCAGCCCTGAATCCTGCGGTACAATAAGCCAGGGGTGGGCAGTCTTACCCAGAAAAGGCTGCTTTGTGTGCCGGGTTTTCGCTGCAACTCCCTAACTGATTACTAATTAGAGGACTGATTGGCTGAGGAGTTTGAACAGCTGACCTACAGGTTATCCCAGAAACCTGCATACACACCGGCCCTTTGCGGATAAGATTGGCCACCCTTGAAATAAGCAGATGATTTTATTATCCATCCAGTCATCACTCTTTCTTGTCCTCACATCCAAAGACATATTGGTCCCAGTGTATCCGTCCCGGTGGGCGTGGCCAGCCCAGTGTATCCGTCCCGGTGGGTGTGGCCAGCCCAGTGTATCCGTCCCGGTGGGCGTGGCCAGCCCAGTGTATCCGTCCCGGTGGGCGTGACCAACCCAGTGTATCTGTTCCGGTGGGCGTGGCCAGCCCAGTGTATCCGTCCCGGTGGGTGTGGCCAGCCCAGTGTATCCGTCCCGGTGGGCGTGGCCAGCCCAGTGTATACGTCCCGGTGGGCGTGGCCAGCCCAGTGTATCCGTCCCGATGGGCGTGACCAACCCAGTGTATCCGTCCCGGTGGGCGTGGCCAGCCCAGTGTATCCGTCCCGGTGGGTGTGGCCAGCCCGGTGTGGCCAGCCCAGTGTATCCGTCCCGGTGGGCGTGACCAACCCAGTGTATTCGTCCCGGTGGGCGTGGTCAGCCCAGTGTATCAATCCCGGTGGGTGTGGCCAGCCCGGTGTGGCCAGCCCAGTGTATCCGTCCCGGTGGGCGTGGCCAGCTCAAATGAAACAGATCTACAGCTAAAATGTCAGCCAGCTACAATGGAGGCACTTTGGATCCCCGAGTAAAGCTGCACTTATAGGTTGGGCTTTAAAGTCTATTTTACCACCAGTATGCAGGTATCAAACAAGCATTGGGCTCTTCCATCCCAGGCCTACCAGCCTTTGTACAAATTAATTCACTTATTGGAAGAGTCCATATCACGTTTTGTTAGAAGCACTCATTTCCAAGAGGAACTTGGCAGAGTTCGGTCTATTTACCAGTACATATCCAGTCCAGTGCACACAGGGACTGAAGATCCAGTTAATTTGGCGGGTGGGATATCTACGCAAGCTTTTGGGGAGGGTTAGTGCCAGTGCGTCCAGGGAGCCATTGCTCACCTTCTGGAACGTTCCGGAGGCCCGGCCATGGGCTCCATCATGCTGCATTTAACGCGGAGACAACAGCAAACCATCTCCGGCACTTGGCGATGACACGCTCCGCCTTCCGCTCCTCGCCGTTCCCCACAAATCCTGTTTCATGGAGCCAAAGTGGCATTTGCCAAGATCTTGCCGGCGTTTGCCTTGAAAACCATGTTTAAGCCCCAATGCCTTGGTTTCACAGTTATATTTAGCTGCCATTCTCCACACGTCACTTCCTGTCTGGGTGTTATCATACACAGCGGCTGATGAACCCAGTATATCTCACATGGGAATGGCGTTAGACAGCTAATCCAATGATAAAATAGTATGTGGAAATCAATACTGAATCAATACCAGCTATACGTAATATCACATATATATATATATATATTATATATTATTAGCCCATATTGTATTCTGATTTTCGGGATAGGCCTATTTAAGTTCCTTGAATTTTAAGTTTCAGTTGTTTTTATTAAATATAATTTTTTTCTACCATATAGTTTCCAATGATCCCAAGGGGAAATATCAATAATGTCAATGAAACTGGGATTCAGATGTAAGTGGACAGACTTCCACAGAACATACAGACGTGACTCATATCAGACGCCAAGAGGGACGCCGACAGCAAAGCTCTACTGACACCTAGTGTTGGTCCTGCGCATATAAGCTTCCCTCGGCCGTCCTCACTGGCTGTGGGGATTTTCATTTGGCCCCGGGTCGGTTAATTACAACACATTAGCACATCAGGATTTTAATGCTGTGAAATTAACATTGCGCTCCGCAGACATTCCACCGCCTCTCTATCTGTAGGAGACAGCTGGGCCAAATTCAAATGAAATTATCACAGAGTGGAGGATCTTCCACAAAGATAACAAACACTAATTAATCCTATTCATGAATTTGCCGTCATATTTCCAAGTGCGCCGTCTCCCCGCTGTGTTTCGAAGCAGCTGGATTCTTTCAATAAGCCAAAATAATCTTAGGGCTTTCAGGGGTTACAGATCACTTCACCTTCTGTCGAGCGCCCTTGTCTGAATACAGCACAAGTTCAATGATAATGTACTGTAGCAGATACACCATCTGGCATCAATTACAAATTAGATAAACTACTAACACGCAGGAATTAAAGTAAAACAATTACAGTTACACTAAAATAAAGCAACAGATTACTGATTATAGCTGCTGCTTTATATTACTGCATAACTGGAATAGCCCATGTCCTGATGACACTTCTGTGTGTTTTATCAGGAAATAAGAAGCTACTTGTTGTAGTTGATAGTAACAGTCTTTGGAATTAAAGCCTAAAAGAGCAGCATGCAGGTTCTGGGTTACTGCAGCTTGCAGAGAGACTCGTAGGACAGGCTGATTAATAGGCAATAGCAGATATTTTCAGGTCAGTCCCATCAGCTTTAAAGAAGAACAGCTGGAAACCAAAGAGCTCGTTTTCTGTCGTCTTTATTACAACCAGATGTACATCTCCAAGGCTATAACAGTGAGGCTCTCAATATAATTCTTTTTTAAAAACTATATACAAAAAAACTAAAAAAAAAAGATGTACTTCAATAAACAGGACTTTCTGTATATGAACATTATTCAGAATACACAGAAATATGCACTTTGACATATTCCAAGTTTGGGACACGCCTTGTGCTGAAGTATTTGAAAATACACATTCTGTTTAAATGCAAAAGCTGGCATAAGGTGAAGATAAACAAATTTAATGTATCAAGAGTCGGTAGAGCCAGATATTAAGTCAATATAGTCAAAAAATAGTAATTTATTTGGTTTAATGTTCCTTCAAAATATTTTCATTATGAGACTATGTGTACAGCCTTTATAAAAGTGTGACGTATGAACGATGCTCATTCAAAGTTATTATTCAATTCAATTAATATGCTGACGTGGCATTTAAGAAACTGAACAAAATACATGGCAAACTGCATTTTATGTTTTGTATAAAAAGTAGCAAAACATAATCCTTGTTATAATTACAAAAGACGATCTATGTTAATAGATGGAACTGCCATTTCAAAACTACCTCTCAAATTTCACAAGGGGCTGAACAGGATAATGCATTTAATTTAGTATTAAGTCTTACAAGACTTGTACACTGATAATAAGGATGTATGTCTGAAACAAATACAGGCATTCTGTTAATGTGGTAAATGACTACGAAGGTCTTGTTAATACCATTTCAGTAGTAAATGAGCCTTGGATATATCCGTTGTTGAAGAGAGAATCAAGTACATTCAGAATTCAGATGCTTATTTGCAGCTTGTTTGCAAGTCACACCCATTTTGGTTTAAGTTCTCATACGGTTTGACTCGCATAATCCAAAGGTCCAAAGGTAGCCTGAGAACTAACTACAAGAAGAAAGAGGAAAGCCTTAGAAATTCATGTGTCTCAAAAGTGTTCTGTCATAGTTTTTCTTTCAACAGTTAAAGTTCAGTGTCACTATATCATTCAGCAGTAAGATTGTTAGATTAAATTCTCCTTTGGTAAACACCTCAATACAAGATGCTATATTTCCTGGTCATATCACGTTCATAATAACTACAAACTTTCACAAGCACTGTATGAATGTTTATCAATGATGCATAGATTCTGAAGGTCTTTAATATCTCGTAGGTCTCTTCATAACAGATAAAATCTCGCATAACGGTCGATGTGCAACGAGGGAGGAAATCAAGGGATCAAAATGAAAGTTATTCACATTGTTAGTCATGGCATACATTTATATTATAGACAGTAAATTCAATGTTACCAAACAAATCAAAGGTTTCCTTGGAAATCTACAGCAGAGATTCTACAGTAAAGTGTAACATCAGTCACATTCAGCCACGAATATCAGATCAGGTTTGGAATCCTTATTTCTCAGTATTTCTCAGAACATAAACTGCATTACTTTAAAAACTTTATAAATATCTTGGAAATATATAAGTATTTTTTGTAATGTAGGCCTAAAATGATTAGAAATCATGTAAGTCTCAAGAGATTGAAATGCAATGATATATAGATCAGTTCGGTGTTAAGTGTGGCACTGCTTTTGGTTTAACATTGGTATAACATCAACAGAACATCCCTCACAACTAAGACTACCTGTAATATCTGCTTCTAGCCAGCAATCCCTGCAGTCACACCCGAACAGTTCATGCCCTACCTCCCCAGAATACTAGACATATTCCGTGATTAAAACGAGGGGTGTATAATGACGCCTTTGAGAAGTACTGAGCCTGTTCATTGCTGAACTGTTTACTTGTCATACTTAAAATTTACTTCTATTGGTTTCTCAGGACTCTGGCTGCAGATCTGGATTTGTAGTATTTATGGCCTTGGATTGTTTCTGGGCTTGGCTTGTGTTGTGACCCGGATTGTTGTGTTATGTTTCGTTACTGGTTATTCCTCATTGTCAGGCATTAAACATGTTTAATCTACTTTGAATCTACTTAATCACTTGAATGGGAATTTTTTCATTACACGTACATCCATAAGTCTTAACATTCATTGACTGATTGTTTTTTATTCCTTAGGATACTTAGCACTATGCATGTAAAGTGGTTTTCTGTTTAATGTCTTCAAAGTAAAAAAATTCAGTACTTGAATACATTTGAATCTCACAGAGAGCAGCAGTGACACTTTATACATGAAAATGACCAAACAGATTTTTGAGGTTTGTATAAGTCCCTTTACAAAACAGCAAACCTCATATTTGTACAGCACAACACAACAGGACCACAAGGCACCTTCATTCAAGTCGACAGCCAAGAAATGTAAAGAAAAAGAAAGAAAAAAACCCCCTGTCTGTCTCCCTCTACTGGGGTGACCTACAATGATATGAGGTATTGTATGGGGGGGGGGGGGGGGGGACATGTGGAAGCAACCAATGAAAGAAAAACAGAAAAGAGGTTCCTAAAACCATCCCCAGGCCACAGACCAAAACACACATCCACGCACCTCAGATGAAAATGAAAGATGGTGAAACAGAGACATCTGAAGGGCTTGACACAGCTGAATTCCCAAATGTGCTCATTTCTGTCAGTCTCTGTACTCCCAAGTAGCAGCACTATACACAGGAAAAGCCTCATAACCGTTCTAAAATGTGTTGTGCTATATATTTAACATTATACATGACATACCTCTAAACATTGTAATGAAAACCTAATGCCCGTAATCCAAATTCAAAATCCTCGATCAAGAATGGAAACTGGAAAAAAATACAACACTTTTCTAGAACTCAACCGATATATCATCTGCTGGTAAAGTTGGCCGATATAAAATTCCATTAATGTATCGGCAGCAGCGGGAAAACCTGCCAATAAAGCACCAGAAATGATAAGAAAATGACTTTGTGTAACTTTTTTGAGGGATCACAGTTCATTTGTAGGGTTTTTTTCGCTAAGTACACCAGACAATGTACTTTAAGTGTAAGAATTCATCATTATGAGAGTTCAAATTAGCCTATCTACATATGATTAAATGATAAGGTCATATGGTGGCTTATTTATATTTATATCATTTTAATACTACATTACATTGAGTGGGACAGGTTGATTTAGCCATTCAAACCTTTGCTTAACTAAAACTACTGGTAACTTTAATATTTGACCATATTAAATTATCTTTGCCGATATTTGGGGTTATCAAGGTTTCATATTGGCCGAGCCCTGATTGAAACATGACCATCTTCTGCCTGCCCAATCGAGTGTGAGTGACAGCAGTGGGCACAGCGGAAAGTGCTAGAAGAGGAGCAATATGAATAAATTAGAGCAGAGATGAGGTGGGCAGAGTGAACACTGGACCATTACTATACAGGGTTAGTAAGTAAATCGATTGTCACCAAAGCAGCCTTGAGAAGCTGATGTGACAGCAGCCAGATCCACTAAAGGCCATTAAACAGGGGCTAAAACGTCTCTACCGGCCTTTTATTCCCAGAATAACAAAGAAAAACAATCAAATCCTTGCTGTATCCTTGTCCTTATCCTTTGGCTCCTGACTTTAGCGTAGCATTAAAGGAAACCACCGTTTTTAAGGCAGAAAAATGCTTTTAAGGCCCGGGGGTCACGTCACGCACACGGACGCTGTGTGAGCCGTGTAAGCCCTGTCCTATGACCTTCGCATATTCGCTGCCGCTTCTCATGACTGACACGCGATCGTGTGGCTATAAGGTATGTTGGTTCTAACCGGCAGGGCAAAATTTTAGAAAGACAGACAGAATGAAGAACCTTCTCTGATCGTGAGATGAGATGCACGTGGTCTGCACGCCCACTTTTACTCTCCATTCAGCACCACCTCTTAATGTTCAAACATTTCCCCAATAGTTCACACAGCTGATTCGGTGCATGCATCAGTTGTAGGACAGACACTCAGCATTTACTGCGCTCATTAATGCAGTAAGAGAATTCAACTGCAGCTATTCTGATTACAACAAGGCTGCACTGAGACCAAAAATAGCAATCTTGAGGTTACAAACCCTTTCTCTATTTCCTCATTTAACACTTTTCATAAAAATGCAGCTTTTCAAAATAAAAACTAAGATATATATATTTCCCCTGAAAATATTATTTTACATCATTCCATCTAGTTTTTACCCAGCCTGGAATACACTTTAAATCCCCCCCCACCCCATCTCCACCCCCCAGCCAGGACCCCGCAGTTATAATACAGATAGATTACTTTGAGTGAAGTCTCACTCTTTTACTTTTCTGTTATAAGGAAACAATTCTGACTTTCTGATAAATGCAGAAATATATAACAAACCTATATTTTTAGGTGGACTGTTAAAAATACTCCATTATTTCTTCCTGACCCCAAACAAACAAATTATTATGTATTTAATAATAATAAAAAAAAACTTTAAACACACCCAGAAACACAGCCTTAGCAGTCAAACTATGTTTCAATGTCATGTTTGTTATTTAATGCCATTACCAGCATTCAATATGTTACTGGCCCATACATACACAACAGCACATTCAAAGCCCCATCAGGTTAACTAGCTAACACAGCTTCTGCTAGCTCCAGTCAACGCTCATGGGACAAGCAGTGTCTATGCAGCTAAGCAGCTGGGCTGAATCTCTGACTGGTCCATCCGCCATACGCCTCGCCACTGTAAGCAGTGCTACACAGAGGCCAGCACACACATCTACCGGGAGTGGAGCGGGGACAGCTGACTTTCCACGGTCTTACAGTGACTTACAGTGACTTACAGTGATACTGGACAGTCCTGTGGCGTGTTCCTCAACAGATTTGCACAAAGGCAACACCAGTTTCCGCTAAGAAAAGCAGGAAAAGAAAGAGAAAAGTAAAAAAAGCTAAACGATCATTTAAAACATAAATAGGAAGATGAAAGAGGTACTTTGAAGTGATGATAATTAGAACAGTTCTCCTTTGTATAGTTAGAAAATAAGACTTTTTCTTTCAAGTAATATCACCTGTAGGGGTGACAGATGAATTTCGGGGGAATGAAGAAAAACACGTTATGATAGTCTTTGCACCAGAACTAAAGGGGTTGCAGATCATACGGTTCCAGACTGTGCATCCCAACTTACATATTTGAGGGGATCACAGTCCAGAGCTGGCAGAGCTTAACTGATCCTCTGCACAGGGTGCGACAGTTCGCCATTCACCAGCATGTGTGTTTATGCACGTGTGCGTGTGACTTCTCTTTAAAGGCATGGATTAAATATCACACTGAAGTCTCCAGTCCAGGCCTTCCCAAAGTATAGCCGGAATCTGAAGGCTGGAAGTCATTCCCAAATCCCGGAGAAGGCCTAACAGTGTGGTAGTCAGAGTTGTGGTTCCAGCCGGAGTAGGTGAGCTTCTTGGGGAAGGACTCAGACCTTCTCTGGCTGCAACTGGGGGCCTCGCCACTCCTGTGAGGGGTGGTGCACTGCGAGGACAATGGGGTGAACTCCGACAGCTGGCCCAGGTAGAGCTTCTCAGCGTTCTGCAGGAATAGGGAGAGAGAAAGACCATTTGCCACTGGGCACTCGATAGAACTGCAGCCCAAAAACAGCAGACACAAATAAGAAAACTCACAGGAAGCCGTGCAGTGAGTGGTAGCTGAGAGTTCAGCCCCAAGCCATCTACGTTGTGAGGAAATTTGTGCATGTGTAAGCAGAGGTGGATAGTTCAGAGCCAGGAGATAAAAATCCAGCCCAAGATTTTGCTTCAACCAACTAGTTGAGTATACAGAGTGACAGTCGCAGAGTACTCAACTGGTTAGTTGACATAAAATCTTGGTCTGGATTTTTACTTTCTGGACCTGAATTATTCACCTCTGCATGTATGTGTTAAACTCTTCTACAGTTTCTCTCTTATACTTAACCTACAGAATCAGAACCAAATGCCTCAAAAATCCTGCTAATAACTGATGTCAATGGCCAACACTGCAAAAAAAGCGAACAGATGGTCTGTTCATATGATGAGTGCTGGAAAGACCAGAAAACCAAATGCTCTGGTTCTCCATGACCTTCAGGGGTCGCTCCTCAAGATCTCCTCAGCCCTCTAGCTGGATGCTCTGTCCTATTAGGGAGGACCTTGGGAACAGTACCTAGGACTGAAATCACTGCATGTTCCACTAAGGAGTTTTCAGTAGTAATGGCATGAGGAACGTGTTTCTTTGACAATGCATACCTGTGTGAGTATTTTTATACAAAATAAGTGGGTGAAGGACACAGGAATTAACACCCTATGTGCAACACCACTCGAGACACTAGGTGGCAGTAGTTGCTTTTTAATGGGGCTTCCCAGTTGAAGAAAATCATTTGCAATCCTGTGGGTAGCATCAAATTTCTAATACTATTAGTTCATATTTAAAGCCAAGCCATTAATATACTACTCAAGCAATTTTATTGACGGAACCTGCTTAGTATATGTTAGCGGTTTAGACTGCGAAGAACTATTTTTTAATTAATTTGTCTACAAATTACGATTCTGGGTGAAACTCTTTAAGTGTGTGACTGTGTTTGCTTCTTTATGATATTACAGACTAGGCTGTATGTCGAGGTAACTGGATGCTCTGTGTCCAACATCCACTACTCACTGCACATGATCATCATTACTGTGTAATACTTAAATAATGTGCAATAACCCACACTGCATATCACACTGTATATAAAAAACCCTATTTAGTTATTTATTCTTTCCATATGTATATATATAGCGCCGCAGAGCTTTTTGTTTATTGTTTGTTGTTGTTCTACATACATGTTTGCACTGGAGGAGCTGCTTTTAATCTCATTGTACATGTGTATAGTGACAATAATAGGCATTCTATCCTAACACAGTGAGGAAGAACACAACTGACTGACCAATCAGAAACTCGCCAATATATGCTCCCAGTCCTTCAGAAAATGCAGCAAACCAGCCCAGCAACAAGCAGGGCCTGGGCCTCTGACTCTGATACAGCTAAGGCCTCGGTCAGGCCTCACTGGGTGGCCACGTCTCATCAAGGAGGGAACCCTGGCTGCAGGTGACAGCTGTCCCCAAGGTCGAGTCTTCCTTGTTCTGTACACAGCAGGTGCAGCCATACGGCTTTAACTTTGCCACCTTGCGAGAAACACAGGAGATTTATCACTGGCTAAATCCAATACAAGGTCCTAAATTGACCCTGTGGTTTTCCAGAATGTTCTCAAGGTGCAAACACCACGGAAGAGAATATCCAACTGTTGATGTATTTTACATGTCACTTCCAAGAATGACATTGGAAGCATATAAAAATCAGTTGTTATGATCTCTAATGCCTTCCCAGTGCAGTCTCCAGTATTTTCACACTTATTGTTTGTGATTTTTCACTGCTCAGATGAGTTGTTTGTGGGATAAGACATTGTTCTGCCAAATCCAAGGGCATGTGAATGACTTTTTAAAACATAATGGAGTCATTTTCTGCCATGAGCTCAGGTATAAGGTACTAAAGCAGGATAAGGTTGAGGTACTAAAGCAGGATACGGTACCTAAGCTGGTTCAGGAGACAGCAGTATTGGTACTGGAGCACCTGTGGTTCTGCAGATGGAAAGCTAGCATGCAGTCTGTGAAAGGTGTTTGCATGCCCCCCCCACTCCAGGATAAGGTCAGTTCCTTCTGGAAGCGTATTTGAAAGTACCCTGTGATGCACTATTGGCCATTCCAGCATGTGCTCCATGTTAATCTGTGACACTGATGAAAACAGGGATGACCTAATTGGATGAGCGCTTGTTTAAAAATAGATGCATATATGGTTAAACCTACGCCTGCAATACCACTCCCAACACAAGGTGGCAGCAATTCATTTGTTTTTGATTTTTTTTTTTTGGAGCTTGGCAGTAGATTCAAGATTCAAGATTCTTTATTTGTCACATGTAGTTATAGCTGGTACAACATACAGTGAAATGTGTTTTCCTGGCTGAACTCCGACTGTGCTAGACGTAGGAT